GGCAAAGATACTGGAGTGGGTTGCCATTTCCTTCTCCAGTGGATCACGTTTTGTCAGAGCTCTCTGCTATGACCTGCCCGGCTTGGGTGGCCCTGCACGGCATAGCTCATAGCTTCATTGAGCTACACAAGCCCCTTCACCACGACAAGGCAGTGATACATGAAGGAGATTTTGAATATAGAGAATGAATAAAGCGATTATATGGTAATAACCCAAATTAATTCTTTTGATTATTCTCAACATAAAAGAGTCCTAGGAACTAAATGACATGATGCATTTCCTTGTTTGCTGCTTGGATGTCAACTGACAAATGAATAGTTGGCCTCATGTGGTTTCATTTTAAAATCCATTTTAAATTTGATTTTTGAGATTTTTTGCAGAACCTCTACGAGGCTTTTGCACAATCTTAGGGTTCCATGGGACACAGTTTCAGAACTGCCAGGTTACAACTACTCACATCACCATAGTCGTATTTCTCATCGGTCCAGAGAATAAGGGTGACGAAAAAGAGGATGGTCCGGATGAGAGAGAGCTGGTACACAGCCAGTGTCATGCATCGTAGATTTGTTCTGCCAAAAGGGAAGAAGCCAAAGAATGAGGCACAGACTCTCAATGTGCAGGCAAGGGAGGAAACTGAAAGGGGGATTCGGATGACCAGGAGTGAAGATTCAATCCCCTGGCTGGCTATACACACCCACATGAATAGGGGGAAAAATCAGTTACCAGAGTAATATAGTCATTTGTGTAATGTAGGGAGAGATCAGATAATTCAGCCTAGCCCAACACTTTGTTAAAAGTGGCAAAATTTTGAGCCAGGCTGAATTGTCTGACCTCAATAAAAATGCAAATTAGCATATCTCTGATTATTCAGTCATTATGAACTGTAGTATATTCATTATATTTAAACAATAACTATATAGGAAGAGAATTTTAATGTGAAGGACTAGTACCTTGACATGATTGTATAATGTGAGTTTGTGTCAAAGTAAGACCGCAAAGAGAAGGAGGATCCTGTATGGGATTCTCATCATAATTTCTTATTTATAGCATCACTCAGGGATGTTAGACAGGTGACAAGGGGAAGTTGCACAAGCTGGCAGGAAGAAAAAGAGAATTTTGAGGAGACATTTTGAATCTTTTGCAGAAGGGAGGCGCAGCATGCAGGGGCATCTGGCTTCCTTTAACATGCAGGCCTGATTCTGACCTGCTCCCGGGCTTACCGGTTGGCAGCAATCTCAGGAAGGCAGCAGCAGCAGCAGCAGGGGAAAGGGTTGGGAGAAACCTGCTGCCCCTCCAGCTGCTGGAACATTCGATCGGATCCACCAAAGAAATCTCGGATCAATGCAAGGAATTTCCAGAAGGTGATGGAATGGTAACTGTGCCAAGAGAAATAGTGATATCACACACAAGCAAGTGGATAACACAGTGGGGCTAGCAAGACCATACGAAGAGTCCTGCTGGATTGGACCAAGGGACCACTGAGCCCAGTATCCTGTTCACACCATGGCCAACCATCTGCTTGTGGGAAGTAGGGCTTCAATGCAGCAGCATCCTCTGGTCTACAAAGACATGCTGCCTCTGATATTGGAGGGTCTAAAGGCCCATGGAGCAGCCGCCTTGCTAAAGTTAAGCAGGCCTGGGTCCAGCCAGTGTTTACAGGAGAGACCATGTGGGAAGCACAAGTAGCCACCTGGCACTCCACATGGAAGAAAAGTGGGATGTGAAGGTAAGAAGGAAAATTTTAAAAAAATAGTGTTGGTCTAATTGAAATGGGTCTGCTCAAAGTAGGTCTAACACAGGATACAACCAATGGTCCAATACAGTCATTTGTATGACAGATTGATTATTACAAAATCGCTCCCTTGAGATATCAGCTACACCCTCCCACCCAATTTGAAGGGCAAAGAAGAAAATGAGCAACCTTTCTCCCGCACCCCACAGACCCCTTCATGGGGCAGTGAAAGATGTTGAACAAACTGTAGTGCATAGCTCATTAGGAGAACGAAGGCTTTACACACAGAAATTTCAGTGTTCCGTTTCTGACAGGAGGTGACAGGAAAGGACCTCTTAGCTCATGACCAGTGCTAGCCACATTAGACCATACTGGGCTAGAAGGATAAATAATCCAGCCTAGGATTGGGCAGCATCTTATGTATGTATTGGAGAAGATGGTGTCTCCTTTGTTCTTACAAATACAGACTTAAAGAGAAAACTTGTGTGTCTGTGACTGTAGGAACCAGCTTAAGACATTTTGCTTCATGGGCAAAGTAACTAACAGTACATTTCTCATGCCCAGGTCACAGTACCTACACCCAAGGCTAGTAGTTGAGGCAGAAAATCCTGGGAGGGCTTCATTCTTCTCTGGTGGTAAATATGCAGAAAGAATGAATTTTAAAACTTTAATACCCGTTTTAATACCCTATGCCTAAATCAGTGATAGGGGTGAAAATCCTTAAGCCTGTGGACCAAATGCAACTCTTTGGGGTCTCCATTCAGCTCTCCAAGGTTCCTCTAAAGCATGGGTCCTCAAACTATGACCCGTGGGATGGATCCGGCCCACCATGGCCATCCATCCGGCCCACGTTGCCGTTGACTGCCCACGCGTGCACTTGCTCGCTCGGAGATGGTTTTGGACTCGCTGGGAGATCTCCAAGCGAGCGAGCCACCGCCACTTGTGCCTGATGCTGCCTCACACATGCCCAATGTCGCCTCACCAGCTCGCACCCCCACCTCACCGGTCCGTGACAGTCACCACAGCCTTTCAACTGGCACCCTATTCAAAAAGTTTGAGGACCCCTGCTCTAAAGACCCTACTCTTTCCCTGGCCTCCTCTTTCCAAACTTCCAGCCATTTGTGGCTTTCTTGGCTTTTCTGCCATTTCTTCCCCATTCTAAAGGGTTGAAATGCCTCTCCAAGGCCTAGTTACTGGCAGTAAGAACTTTGGGCTAAAACAGGCTGGTTTGGCCAGGCCTTTTGCCTTTGGGCTAGCCCACCATTGGAATGCAGCTCCCAAAAGAAATTTCGAAATGGGATTTGGTGCTTGCCAAAAGGGGTTCTGTCCCCCTGATCTCCCACTTGCCACCACCAAATGACAGGGCTGGCCAGAGGGTTCCAGGTAGGCTTGTCAACCGTCCCACTGGCCTGTCGGTGCTGTTGCTTAATGCCAGGTCAGTCCATAATAAAGCATCCCTCATCCACAACTTGATTGTGGATGAGGGGGCCGACCTGGCTTGCATAACAGAGACCTGGGCGGGAAGCGGGGGGATGTCTCCCTCTCCTAACTGTGCCCGCCCAGGTATCTGGTCCAGCACCAACCAAGCCTGGGGGGAGGGGAGGGGAGGGGAGGGGCGGTCGCTTGAGTTTGCCAAGCTTCTATCTCCCTCACGGGACTTCCTGTCCTCTTGAGGCCGGGTCTAGAGTGCCTCTACTTGGTGTTGGGCGACCGAGACAGATTGGGGATTCTGTTGGTGTACCGTGCACCCTTCTGCCCAATAGACTCCCTGCCTGAACTGATGGAGATCATCTCGGACCTGGTGTTGAAGACTCCCAGGATGTTGGTCCTGGGGGACTTCAGTCTCCATGCTGAGACTGTTCTGACCGGGGCGGCTCAGGACTTCATGGCCTCCATGGCGGCCATGGGGCTGTCTCAACATGTCATTGGCCTGACCCATGAACATGGACCCACTCTGGACCTGGTTTTCTTGACGGGGCAGGAAGAGGGTGATCTGAGGGTGAGGAATCTATGTCTGACTCCCCTGTCATGGTCAGATCACTTCCTCATGAGGTTTGAGCTCGAGAGTGGCCTTTCCCTCTATAAGGGTGCGGACCCAATTGTATTGGTCTGCCCCCGGAGCCGGATGGATCCGGATGGATTCCTGAAGGCCCTGGGGGAATTTCCGGTTGACAAGGCTGGTGCTCCTGTCGATGCCTTGGTCGAACTATGGAATGGGGAAATG